CAAATTTTAAGTTCAGACTTGAATTTATCCAAATGGTTCAAATCTTAGTTGACTCAAATTTAAATTGGTTCAAATTTTAAGCTATTCAGATTTCAATCTGTCCAAATTTTAATTGGTTCAAATTTAAATTGGTTCAAATCTGAGTTAGCTTAAATTTTTATTTGTTCAAATTTAAATTGGTTCAAACTTCAGTTGGCTCAAATTTTAAGCTATTCAGATTTCAATTTGTCCACAATTTTATGCTGTTCATATTTAAATTTATCCAAATTTTAATTGCTTTAAATTTTTATTTGTCCAAATTTTAATTGGTTCAAATTTTATTTGGTCAAAATTTGAATTCGTTCAATTTTCATTTGGTTAAAATTTCAATTGGTTAAAATATACAAACTTGTTTGAAACTTTAATATCCTAACGAAAAAAGACAGAAAATAGAGCATACGTTATAAAATTGATCAGAAAATAAATGAATAAAAAGATTGTCAGCGAGAAGGAAGGCTGTATATAAAGAGAAGAACAATGTTAAATGTAGAAAAAGAAGAAATGTACAATGATAGAATCTATGGGAGAATATATGAAGAGAGAGAGAGAGAGGGAGAGAAGAAGAGAGAAAGAGGTAAAATTGGATGGACGATAGAGAAAGAAGAGGATCTCTGAGGTGACACTGCCGAAATATGTCTGATCGGCATTCCTAGGACTTTTTTCGTCCTTTGTTGAGAGAGCGGCGTCACTATGTCATCGAGAAAGACCGCCGACGCCACTCTGCTACCAAAACGGCGCGATATCATTGGTCCTTGAGGTCCTGGCTAATAAGAACCTACGGCTCAACTTGTGCATCCATTGTCAGCTTTCGGATGATGCATTGTGAGAAACAGATAGTAGCGTTGTCATTCGAATCATCTTCTCCACATACCAAAATCCCAACATCATCTACATTTTTTTTTTATATGTCATTATATCTTTTAATGTCGCTATAAGAATAATTCAATTTTTAAATTAAAAACTTGAACCGACTAAAAATAGAAATAAAAGTATTTAAAATTGATACTGGAAATAATAAACAAATATGTGTAAATACAGATTTGTATTATGTATAGCATGACGATAGAATATAACCTGCTGATGAAGAAAGAAAAATTGGAATCATCGAGTGACAAATGATATGGTTGCTTTTATAAGGCAAAATGTCATTGTGGAACAAAATTAATATTCATATTCACGGTCCTTGGACCATTTATATATAGTCCTGGTGCAATATACCAATAACCTGACCCCTGTGTAAGCCCATTCAGGGGTTGTGTCAGACTAAACTTTATGGGGTGATGCAAACCCCACGTGCTCGGTATTTAATTATTGAGAATGGAGGGTTGTCTCATGTATATATATATATATATATACGAGATCTCGCAATATAATGTGTCCCTATGTTTCATGGGGGTCCACGCGCATCCTTCTCGGTAAATGTCCAAATAAGCAGACGTGAAAATTTACATCCTTTCAATTGCACAATTTTTTTTTTTAAATTTTAACAATTAATCACTGGAATACCAATAAAAAAAAGTGTCTTATAATTTTGATAATTAGAGAAAAAATATAACACTAGATTTTAGAAAGAAATTGAGATTCTTTAATTTAGGAGAGATGTGGTCGTTATTTTTGGTTGGTTGGCATTATAAGTAAAAGCAGACTTCGCACGTGTCCATGAATGATGTTGAGCATTCATCACCCCAGCTGTATTTGACGATATATATCAAATATTTGGTGGCAAAAAACAAAATGTCGCCAAATTGGCGACAATGTTGTCCAGAGACTCGACAAAAGTCCTGGAGGAAATTTCATATAAAGAATAAGCGTATATACTCTCACTTGGGAGAGCAAGAGAGAAAGAGAGAGAGAGAGAAAGAGTAAAGCAAAGTGTTGAACCACGTGATGACCACGTGGTTTCCTGTTTGGTTTTTCCACGTCTAGCCAGCACATGCTTGATTGCGTAACAAAGTGCACAAATCATATACCAGTCCCTAAGAAACTCAACAGACTGATTTATTGCTCAAACAGAGCAATGCCCTTTATTAATCGTGAATATCCTGCTTGTTTATCCACCACGATCAATCAATTAAAATCAATTGAAACTTTAGTCCTTTATTTTGACACAAGTTTATTTACCGTGAATTTTAATTATACTTACCGTCAACTATAATGTTACACGACAACACTTACCGTTGATAGTAGTTATAATTTGCAATGATTACCGTCAATTATACTTGAAATTGAAAGCACTTACCGTTAATAAAAATCATAATATTCTGCACTTACCGTCAACTATATTTATAAATGAAAGCACTTACCGTTAAAAATAATAATAAATAACCGCATTTACCGTCAAGTGTGATTTTACACGAAAGCACTTACCGTTCGTAAGAGATAATAATAATAGTCTACAATTTTAATTCGCGGTAAGAGCGGCTAAATACATTTATCAACGGTAAGTGCTGCAGATGGCGTTTACAATTTACGGTAAGAATGACAATCTACAACTGTAATCAATGGTATGTGCTTTTAATTATAAATATAATTACCCGATAACCACAATGTTATACGAAAGCACTTACTGTTCACAAAAGTTATATGAATGATCGCACTTACAGTTTATAATAGTTGCAAATAATCACACTTACCGTCAATTAAAGTTGTAATCGAAAACTCTTACCGTTTATTATAATTATAATAGTCCGCACTTACCGTTGATTATAATTGAAATTTATAACTACAATTGACGGTAAGTGATTTGGATTACAATTATAATCAACGTTAAGTGCTTTCCATTACAACTATAATTGACGGTAAGTGCTGTATATGACAATTATAGTTAACGATAGGTGCGTGTATTATATGAATAATAGCAGCTCTCATCGTTGATTACAGTTATAATTTGACGCACTTACTGTGAATAATAATTGTTATTTTCAGCACTTACCGTCAATTATATTTGTAATCTAAAGCACTTACCGTTGATTATAATCAACAGTAAGTTCAAAGAATTATAACTATTGTCAACGGTAAGTGCGCTTACCGTGAATTATAATATACAGTTATAAATGACGGTAAGTGCGGCTATTTATGAGTACAGTTAACGGTAAGCTCTGGCGTATACAATTGTAGATGACGGTAAGTGCTGTCTATTACAGCAATTGATTGCAAGTGCAGATAAATATTTATTACAATTAAGATCACTTACCGTCAATTAATTATAATAGTCCGCACTTACCGTTAATTATAATTTCAATAAAAAGCACTTACCGTTGATAATACTTATAAACGATTACACTTACTATATCATGAATTGTAATCGAAGCACTTACCGTTGATTATAATTGAAATTTATAACTATAATTGACGGTAAGTGCTATTTTTCTATAAAAAAAAGAAAATATTTACCTCCATTGGTATAATTTTATTTTTTTAAATGAATTTAATATATGATATTTATGGTGAAATAATTATTTCCTTTGAAATTTTATTACTAATTTAGAATTCCTAACGATCCTCAAAAATGGTAATAATAACACACGAATAAGTGATAGAACTGAAGAGATAAAATAAAGATACGATCAAAATTCACATATTTAAGCCTAAACAAATGTCATATGCCTTAAAGTACTCATTTAGTACCTTATAGAATTTGGATCTTGGCGATAAATCAGACAAGTTAAATCCAGTTTTAGAAAGAAAAAAAAATAAGGGAGGGGAAAAAATGAATCTCTATATAATAAGTGAAAGGAAGAGAGAATGAGTGAATATTGTGGAGTTTTAGACGAAAAAGAAAGAAAAAAAAGTAACCGTCAGTTATGGATGACAGAGAAGAAGATTTTGGTAATTAGAAGAGGGCGAGAGGACGGAAGGGCGTCGGGGCGCCCAGTAAATCTTTTCCGTCGCCTCTATCCTGCTTCTTATCCGAACATCGAACCTACGAGGTATCTCCTTGTTCGTTCCTTCTTCTTCTTCCCAGTCAACCAACAAGATTTATTTTATTATTTGCTAGATTTACTGGCGGGCTACCGTTTATTGGAATCCTCTTCTCTATCGATATGGGATTATACAACATTTTAACGATCTGAAAATTATATTATGAAATGCGTATTATAATTATCTTCCAAACACATTTTTGTTTCTTCTTTTTCTATTTGGAATTTAAAATTTGGAATAATAAATTAATTTAGTAGATAGTGAATCAAATAAAATTGATATTCGTTTATCAAATTAATATAAATGTTACAATAATAAACTGTAACAAAATTTATATCGCACCTAAACAAATTTTTAAGTCAAAGTTAATTGCCGGTTCTTTCTCATCTTGTTAATGTCAATTTTTATCCGCTCGAGTGAAGCGAGAAATCTCAAAAATCTAGTCCAAAAGGCACGTGTTAAAAATCGATTAGCATTATTGACAACCAGATGTTTTGTCACCTTATTTTTTCTTCGACATTTCATAAAAAGTGACAGTTTATAAAAAAAAAATATCCTCAATTCTTAGAATAGATTACATATATATTATATTTTTAAAAGTAATAAGAAAATATAATTTTAAAAAATAGTAGAGATTTTTTAGTTTTAAAAGGGAAATTTCATTAAATGCACAATTAGTTGAAAATTTAATGACATGTCAAGAGTCCTTTTTATATACTCTAATCGGAAGATAGAATTCCAGAAGATTTAATTCTCCTTTCTTATTACGTACTCGATTAACCCTCCGGACTTTAGAATCAACCCTGTAATTTAAATAAATGCGTAATTAACATCCTATGGTGTCTAGGAAAAACAGTAAAAAGAATGAGAATTTTATTTAATGTTATTGATTTTATTATTTGATTAGTAAAATATTTATTTTATATTTTTTTTTATTATTTATTTTTAATTACAAAAAAAATGTTATATTCAGAATACTTAATATTAATAGCGGATTATACATAAGGGAAAAAATTGAAAAAATGATATAATTAAAAAAATCAGATTGGAAATAATTAATAGTTTATTCAACATCTATATATAATCGTAGCACGATAAGCATGTACGTCCTTTGATTTTTCGTTTTTGTACAAAGTCCAGAATAAATTGGATATTAAAAAAAAAAAAAATTGAGAAAAGCAAAATTACTTTTAATTGCTTTTCAATAAAATTCAGAACTTTTGCAGCGATCGATTATAAATTACAATAATAATTAATAATAATGATGATATTAATAATAATAAAAATAATAATAATACAGCAATATGCATAGCAGTGTATGGCAAGATCATTGGTCAATAAATACTTCTCTCGTCTTTTAAACACTAAAATCATGGAACAATATTTCACTTAACCCTATTTACATAAGGTGGGGTCTTTGAGACACCAGTTATTTCAATACTATTTTTTTTATACACTATTTGTCTAAAATCATTTATTTTAATTTTTAAAATAATTTTTTATCATCTTAATGACAAAAAAATAACCCTCAAAGGATTTTTTATAGAGGACCTTTGAGAATACCTTAAGGAAATAGGGTTAATTTTAATTGGTCCTTAAATAAAAATTCTCTTTGTATTTTTTTTCAATTTTTCTCACTTTGAAATTACTTTTTGATTTCTTAATATTTCCGCATAAATTATACAATTTGAATATTAACAATCCTCGAATTTGTTTTGTTAAAAAAAAAAATCAAAAATTTATTGATCAATTGATTTTTATACGGAATCTAAAATAATTGATTTCATATATATATAATATACTTTGTATATTAAATTTTGTAATATCAATGAATTTATATTAGAAAAAAATGTTTTTTATTCTAAAGATTATAATATTTTTGTAGATTATAATCTTTAGTTTTAGGAAATTAGAAACAAAAAAACTTTTAAAAAAAAAAGTTTAGCAAAATTCTACTTTTTACATACCTATATACACACTATTGTCTGTAACTGGTAGAATATTGCAAACAGATTTTTTTTTTTTTTGAAATAAATTTTCTTAATAACTATAAACTAGAAATTTCGCTCGATTTTTTTTCGGCTAGCAGCAATCACTAAGGTATTATAGTGCGCGCAATTTTACTATATTTAATAGTAGTTTAAATTCACGCTACATTATAGAAGAGCCTTAAAAGATGTAGTTAACACTATGTACAATTTTAACGCTTTCATTTAAAAGTATAACAAAGTCTTTTTTTTATACGTTTCACCCCAATTTTTATTTTCTTTATACTCTCTAAATTTGAATCAGTGAGAATTTATACTGACGAAATAGTTGGAATTTAGAGTATTTATGATTTGTTTTTTTTTAAGTCTTTATCAATTATTAAATAAAATATTTTCCAAACAAAAAAATAAATAAAAAAAAACCGTTAATATTTTTCTTTTTTTTTAGAAAATTAATTTTTATTTGAAAATGAGAATTGGAGTGAAACATATATATATATAATCAAGGACGGCGAGTGGATCAATATTATACGCTCTTTGTATTAATAATTTCTACCTAATTTTTTCCTAATTACCAATTTTTGACTTTATCGGTCCTTTATATCAGTCAATGAATGAACCGAAATACTGGCACTCAATTCTAGAACCAATACATATCTTTGGAATCTTGAACTTGAGACTCGAGACCTGCAACAGAAAGGAAAAAAAAGTTTGTTAATAAACAATTTTAAAATAACATTATTTTATTATTTAATTGAAAAAAGGAAAAATTTTCTCAAATTTTGAGAGAGAGAGGTTTATTATAAAAAAAATCCTAATGAATATTAATTAAGTATATAATTCTGAAATAATTCGTAAATGATGTGCGAATGCTTCTGAAGAGGTTAAGAGGATGAAAAGGGTGAGAGAGAAGGAGAGAGAAGGTAGATGATGATAATAATAATCTCGAGCTGATGTATAAACTGGACGGTACTTGTCGAAGAATTATTTATCGTCGAACCTTTTGTCGATGGAGAAAGCAACTTTTTTGACGGATGCGAGGGTGCAGAACTGGTGATGGCGCCTGCTGAGCAACACGGTCGACTGGTTAGTTTTAGATGGACAGTGTTCATATGATGTCGAGAGAGAAAGAGAGAGAGAGAGATCGAACAGTTGAGATCTCATGTCCTTTATGACAGCGCCACGCATAGATCTAAATTTTATCTCAAATCTCGATATCCTCCAGGCAAAGATCACAATTCAATGATATTCGTGGCGCACTGTCTCCTCTTCAAATCTCACGATCCAAAATCCAAAGTGTCGAAACAAGACGAAAAGGATTTTTTTTTCTTGTGTCCGTTAACTTTAAATTCTTCACAGCTTTTGTCTTTCAATTATTAATATTATTCAATGTTCTATTGACATTTTTCTTTATTGGAATCATTTCTCATATAAATTATTCACAATACTCAATTATTCCAAGTTTAATATTTATGTTTCGATTACATTTATAATTGACGGTAAGTGAATTTAATTGTAATAAATAATAATCTGCACTTGCAATCAATTGAAAGCGCACTTACCGTCATCTATAATTGTATACGTAATTATCGTTAACTACAGTCATAAATAGCCGCACTTACCGTCAGTTATAACTGCGTATATTTATTTCATTATAATTCACGGTAAGCGCACTTATCGTTAACAATAGTTATAATTGTTTGAACTTACCGTGAACTATAGTTATAATTAGCGATAAGTGTTGTCAATTATGATTATAATCAACGGTAAGTGCTCAAGATAACAATTATTATTAACGGTAAGTGCGTCAAATTAAAACTGTAATCAACCATAAGTGCTGCAATTATTCATATAATTACCCACACTTACCGTTAATTATAATTGTCATCTACAGCACTTACCGTCAATTATAGTTGCAATAGAAAGCACTTACCGTTAATTATAATTGTTATCCAAAGCACTTACTGTTGACTGTAAATTGGTACTTATAACTATAGTAAACGGTAAGTACTTTCGATTACAACTATAATTAACGGTAAGTGCTATCCATTACAACTACAATTGACGGTAAGTGCGGTAACTTTTATCTGTGGTCAACGAAAAGTATTACGATTATTAATATTATTACCCGCACTTACTGTTAACTATAATTGTCATCTACAGCACTTACCGTCAATTATGGTTGCAATGGAAAGCACTTACCGTTGATTATAATTGTAATCCAAAGCACTTACCGTTGACTGTAAGTTGGTATTTATAACTATAGTAAACGGTAAGTACTTTCGATTACAACTATAATTAACGGTAAGTGCGTTCCAATACAACTATAATTGACGGTAAGTGCGGTAAATTTTAACTGTGATCAACGATAAGTTTCACGATTACTAATATTATTATCTGCACTTACTGTGAACTATATGCGGTCGAAAGCACTTACCGTTGATTGTAATTGATAATTATAATTAACGGTAAGTGCTTTCGATTACAACTGTAATTGACGGTAAGTGCAGTCATTTATAACTATTATCATGATATTATAGTTATAAATGACTGTACTTACCGTCAATTACAGTTGTAATCTAAAGCATTTACCGTTAATTATAATCGAGCAACAGCTTATTGATTTCGATTACTACAATAAATGCTATCATTTATAACTATTATCAAAGGTAAATGCTTTCGAGTACAATTATTATAGTTTACTGTAAAACTATAGTAGTTACCCTATTAATTAACGGTATATGCACTCTAAGTTATGTACACATTTGTAAATGCATTGAAAAAAATGATATTAATTTGATATTAAAACATGATAAGGGGGTTTATAAGTGGAGTTAAAATCGCAAGTGTGCATCTATTGCTACCTGAGTTGCACTTATTGAATTTTTGATCTTTTATAAAAGCACGTGGCGACACGCGACTATGAATGAATGCCCTTTGTATAAAAAAACATCAATACCAGCACTCAAAAGATGTTAAAGCAAGTGTTATCAAGTGTAAGGGTCTAGAGTGTTATTCGATAAAAGTTCGGTCATCCGGAAAATGATCGGAAACGTCGTGAAGGGAAACGCGCGTTGTAAAAGTGAAAAAAAACCGAGTTTTTCCTCCCATGCCCCTTTAACAAATTTCTCATCAAAAGTTTTCTTTCTTTATAGAGAAAAAAAAACTCCATTTAAATTCCTATTGATTATGAACTTTGTTCCTATTTATATAAAACAAAATATATTTAACAGAAATATTGATGTAAATTTTATAAAGTATCGATAATTTTAAATATAGTAACCAATAAATCATTTATATTAATATATATAAATGGAATAAAATTTTCCCTCATAAATTAAATGCTGACCAATTCAGTTTATGTGTTTACGAGGGAATAATAATATTAATAATATAATCTTCCTGGGAGCGGCATATAAATTCCAAATCTAATAAATACCACAGATACCTATAATGACCATCAGAAAGTGTTTAATGGGTATAAAGGAAGTATAATATTAGATGTGAGAGACTTTACTTTGTAGGACGTTCAAGTATGCGGAACATTATCCAATGTGAGAACAAAACGATACGTAGAGGGGTCCATTGGAAAATAGGGTGATGTCGCATGACCTAAACAATATTGCGCCTACTATTTGCCAAGTCACACGCGAGACGAGAATCAACCCCTACTATTATTTGTCATAGGGTTACCAATCAATTGATCACTAATGTCTTTAGATTGAAAATACATATTTTTCTCCTAAATTATGTCCAATAATTTATATATATAAAATTTAATACTCAACTTTTCTTCACAAGAAATTTGTGATAAAACATGATTTTTCAACGTATATATGGGATCAATGGAAAATTATTGCCATTTTGAAAAGACTTTGATGTCTATGGAGAGAGACAAAGTTGTGGAAATCTAGAATTCTGTGGACTCGAGGGGTTATGAATTTCTCGACTACAGTAACTTAATATCAAAGAGCATTCAACAAACACGAAAGAGGGGAAGTTTCTTGACTTCTAAAGACGCGCACCGACAAAGCGCAAAGATATGCAGAAACTTTAGAATAACTCATTATATAACAATAATAACAACAAAATATCTTTCTCTGTTTTCTAAATATTTCGATTCTTCCCTCAATTATAAGGAATAAAACCATTAGAAAAAAATCAAAAAAAGAAATTATAGAGAAATTTAATGGTTTTTAAATTATTTTTGAAATTTTTTTTTTGGGATTTTTTTTTTTTTTGAAAAGAGATATATATGTTTTGTATTTATAAAGCATATTATATATAGTGGCATAATCTCTGTCGGTGGAGGTTCAAGAGATCAATGTTGGTGGCTGCGTGGCGACCACTCCCTTCACAAGTGTAGCTGACCAATCGTGACCCTCTGATCATCCCCGGTCAAGCTTTCCTACTTCCGTCCTTCTCTTTTCTCATCTGCTCGCAGTGAAGTTAAGCGTGACGTCACTGACCGACGCCATTTTCGAGGCGCGTGTCCGTATTCGCGAAAGCTATTTGCGTTTCCACCCCCACTTTCAACACTGAGAATATCAACCCGTAAGGCAAATTTACCCAAAAAAATTTTACTTTATTTTTCCTATTTGAATTACGAGCTTTTTTCAAATATATATAGCACTTGCAGTGAATTCAATTTTGAAATAACTAAAATTTTTTGAATTATTCAAACTCGAATCAAAAATCAAAAAAATATTCGAATTTGAAGTGACGGTAATTTTAAAAACTATATTATTATTATAATATTATTTAAACCATATAACTGAAATTGAAAATAAATATAAAAAAAAACCACAATTAAAAATTCCCCTATGTAAATGAAGTCAACTTCCAATTAGTAACGAATTTCCTGTATAATATAATTCACTTTTAACACTCAACTAATGTCATCACTCGGATGAAGAATGCGAGAGGAGTCAAATCTGGAGTTCTTTTTCATCGAAATGGACTTGCGCCAATAAAAAGAAAGAGATGCGAGTTTAAAACTGATGCGCACATTGAAATAAATTTTCACTTGACGCGATCGAACGCATTTCTCTCGTGTCGGTGAGCTTCCACCACTCTCTCATCCACCAACAAAAAAAAAAAAAAGGAAAAAATAAATAACAACAAAAGAACGAGGATCACTTCTCCGAAAAGGACTGGCAAGTTTTTCGTCGTGTGTGACGTATATAAACTGGAGCTCTGCTTGCAAAAGTCTCTCGCAGTCAGATCGTTGCAAATAACCGGCACATTGAAATCCGCGCGCAAGTGGCCCAGAGAAGATGACTGCAGCGGCCCAAGGGACCTGAGGCGTCTACTTTTTCGGCCACCGGTCTTCATATATCATTCATGGCGGTGCCTCTCTCTCTTTCTATATATATATATATATATCTCGCGGAATTTGTTTCCCTTCAATGTTTCTCCTATCAAAAGTGGTTTATAAGTATTTAGGTACGTGTATAATCTTTGCAAAATACAAATTTCACTTTGATTTAGAAACTTCCTTTTATAGGGACTGTAAAATTTTTTATCAATTCCGGTTGCTTTAAATAGAATATATATATATATTAATTCACAGCAAATACTAAATCGATTGCACTTACCGTCAGTTTGTAATTTTAATTATATATTATATCATTAATAATGAATTGATTCCTAACAAACGCAATTACCGTTAAACATTTACTATAATC